GTACCCCACGAGCTGTGGCCGCAATGTTTCTCTGCCTCATGCTCATCCAAACAGTCCCGGATATCCTGGCTGTGATAAGATCTTTTGCTCGTTTTTATCGCGGCGACCGAGCCGGCAGAGTTCGATTTTCTGTGGGTTTACCTGATTTCGCTATTTATGGCAACATTTGTTTTTTGCCTTTTTTATGATTATTTACTAGTTTGTCACGCTTGAAACTCTCCGCGCCTTTGGCCTCTCGTTGCTCGTGTTTACTGTATTTCCCCAGCTAGATCTCTATCGATGTCTCTGTCTTTGCGCCTGTTTCCCTATAATAACTGCTCTGCAACGGCTCTTGTCTACTATTTCTAATACATTCAAACCAGGACGTTCCTTTGCTACAAGAATGTGTAAGTTTTTGGGTAAATCCTTTAAGTCTCAACTACTCCTCATCAAATCCTAGTGTTGACGACCGGAACCCTACCTCATTTGATCTTGTTTCTACTCCTCTTCAGCGCTGTCTACTTGTGGAATGTCATGGAAACACCATTCAAGGCAAGTCTATGATGTCATATCTGCATTAAGAGGTGACACTTTATTGCAAGTGCATGGTGGGGATAACGTAGTTTCGTGAATGGATTTCTTTCACAGGAAATACAAAATTTTCGAATTTCTTCGAGAAAGTTAATGTTGTGGCAACTGTGAATGGGAATTAAAGCGTTTGGATATTTTGCACAGTCATAGAGAATACGAGACCCAAAAATATGCTATTACGCGATGAGTGAATTTTACATCAATCTGCTGTTACCCATCGGAAGATGGGTTCACGCAAAAAGTGAGATTGAGGTAATATTAGAGCATCTAAAGCTAATCAGACAAATCCACCTTTTGGCTGCCGCCGGAATAAAAATCTCATCAGCATATTAAGAATCTCTCTTGGCAAAGTAGGGAGAGGAGAAATATATATTAAAATATGCCTTATTCCATAAGAACAGAGTATCCCGAAAGTATGATGGATACTCTGAGTGATTTTCCCAATCGCCTTCAGTTTTTAAGCTGAGGCTACCTCATTTTTCATGATACTGACAATTACTAAAGTATTTCTTCACGTTAATGAATTGTAAGAAAGCATAGTATTACATCTCAGTACGATGTTTCCTTACATTCATCCTTAACTAATCTATTTTCATTCAATGTTTAGCATTAATTTTAGGGTGTTTGGGTTCTACCGCTAGGTCTATTTTCCATCTCTATCGGTTTTTGGGAATCGTGGATTGGAAAGAGACATGCAGGCACTGTCTTTCATGAGTTGTATCAGGTAACTTCAAAGGTTAATAATTCTTTTTGCCTGATTTTCAAATTTAGGTAAAATACGGTCTACGAAGGCTAAACGTTTCCACCCGACTTATGATAGCTGTTGCTCGGATTTTCATAGTCATAACAATTATGTCTTACGCTGCGCGAGGACATGTGAAAACAAATTTATTCTACAATGTCCTTACATCTTACCGTTTTAAATATAAACAAACGTGGGTTATACATTCAGTCCCCAAATTTTCCATTCTTTTTCTCGAGATATCTACTATTTAAGGCAACTTCTGCTCTGTGCATTTGCGATCATCCTCTTGAATCTGATGTTGCGCGGATGCGCTCGATTTCTGGCTGCAATTGGTATGAAAGCCTTCTCCGTGCTTCATCCAGTTACTATCGTACCAGCGGTTGGTTATGCTATTGTTGCATTTATCTGCAACAACAGAATATGTGGTATAGCTGCGGTGAGTGGAACACAACAACCTGATTAGGGTTTGTGCTCATATTCTTTTTAATTTAACATTCTTCTTTCTCTTTTAGTTCCTTGCCAAACTTGGCTTGAGATGGTCTTGCGATCAATGGGGCAGACAAACTCGTCCATTCGACGATTGGTACATCTGCATGATTTGGCTGGCAGTAGGTGCCTACAGAGGATATCAGTTTGTACGACAAAGGTCATGCGATCCTTCTGATGAAGTGTGAGCAGTTTATTTATAGTTATCTCGCCTAATGGCACATTTTCCAAAGTTATCTCAGTGTTGATTCAATGCCACCTGTTTCCAATGGATTTTGCATAGAACAGTCGCTAGTCGTGTTCCATAATTCACTCAGCAAGGCGGTAGCATTCTTGTTTTACAATGTGCACAAATAGATAAATATCCATGTATTTTCTGCTCTAGGAACCCATACTAGATGTTGATGATGATCACAGTGATCCAACCGATGAGTTGCATGTGCGCAATGACGAGGTGAACACATCTTCACTATTTTTGAACAGCATTTTCACAAAAAAAATGCTTCTGTTTTCTGTTGACGGATAGTTGTCTTTTGTTTATTTTTTTTATCAAAGTTTTCCAAAATGAATTAATTTGTCGAAGATTAAGACTGCATGGCATTTAGTTCTATGCATTGTTCAATATAAAGACGGAAAATGAATTAGCAAGTTGCTTTAGGTTGACAGAACATTGACTCTGTATATGTGTGCAACAATGTGGCACGAGACAGCTACAGAAATGGCCCAGATGTTAAGAAGTATTATAAAGTAGGATGTTTGTGTCATAACCATCATTGCACTGCATCTAAGCCATAGAGTTGCAGACTCGACGAAGAACATGCACATCGTCTTAGTGCCAAGAAGGTTGACCAACTAAGATTTCGTTTGGAAGGTATGACGTTCTTACCTCTCCAATCGACACTAAAATCAAACCATTTTTATCCCAAAATTGTCCCTTTAGGTCACATTTTCTTTGATGACGCATGGGAAGATCAGACGGAGCTTGGAATTACTAAACGGGTCCCTAATGACTTCTTTCACACATTCTTTGATACACTTAGTAGGCTGACTGGGTAAGTTCCCTCTCTTTTTATCCACTTCCTATATAAATACTTCAAGTTTTTAGTGAATTTATTGATGAATCTGGCTCTATGATGTCTCGAATTCTCGTTAATACCCCCTATGGAGGCAGATTGGTGGTAAGACTTCCGGCTGGCACCTTGTTGTTTGTCCATCTAAAAGATAAGAAGCTGATTAGAAACAAAAAGAGATGGAGTCAGGTGAATTTTGATTATATTTGCATTTCTTAACATTTATTATCCACTATCTTGATGTTAAGGTTATGTACATGTACTATCTACTTGGACATCGTATTATGGACTCACCGCTAAGTTTGGAAGATCGTCAACAAATGGCGGACAATACATTTATTCTAGCTATTGATGGTGATTCGAAGTTTGAGCCAGAAGTGAGGGTTCTCTTGATCAAA